CGATGCTCAGGCCGCTCTCCGGCTGCAGGTAGAGGTTGTGAGTGTGGTTCAATCCCTGGTCAGCAGGTTTCTGCAGGTCGATGAAATACGGCATCCGGACTGTGGAGAGGCACAGGTAACGTCAAGTGACACGGCGGCTGCTTCTGATTGGTCGTAAACACCTGCTGCCTCCCTTCAGGTAATAACCTAGTTCATATGTGATGTCTGACCACTTCTACCTGGTCAACATGTTTAAAGTCACTTTGTCAGAATGAGTTTTTATGTCACTCTGAGGACGTCATCACGCCCAGAACCACCTAACCCGAACCCGGACCATCCGGATGGCTTTTTCTTCATATCTGTTACAATTCTATCGTGTCCTTTTTTTCTCTTTGACATTTTATTAATATATTTGACCTTTCTGAGACATTTCATCTGTTTCTATAGTTTGTATTAATATTTCTTTTTAAGTATTTTATTCAAATTTTAGAGATCTTTTTATTCATTTTCTTTTCTTTTTTGACATTTTACTCATGTTTTTTGGACATTTCTAAGGCATTCAAATTCATTTTTGTGAATTTCAATAATATTTTACTGATATTTTGGAGACTTTTAGGACATTTGATCAATTTTCTTATACTGCTGGAAAATGTTAACATTTTTTAAAAACATTTTATTCATAATTTCTATTGGAGTTGCAGAACAGAAGAGTATTTCTTGTTTTTATGAACTTCTGTGAAGCTGCTCACTGTGAGCTCAGTGCAGAAGCCGAGCGGCGTCTCGTTATCCGACACGCAGAAAGTGAAGCTGCTGATGAATTAATCAGCTTCTGTGGGTCGAGTTCGGATGAATAAGCCAACAGCTCAGTTCTCCTGTTACACTCCACGTCCTGCAGCTCCGAGGAACCAGAACGTGAAGCAGGAGGCAGAACTCAGAGATGTTCTGCCAGCAGGACTCGATGGAGACCAGAGAAGTCTTCAGATGACCTGTGGGCAGCGTCTGTCCAGGACTCAGTGGCCACAATCTGTTGTTCCGTTTGATTTGTATTTTACTGATTTTCTTGCTTTTTATTTAATTGTATTTATTTTGTTTATTTTTATTGCATTTTATTAATTCCTTTTAATTTATTTTTATTAATTTCATTTTCATCTTTATTGCATTTTTTAGGTCAGACATGGTTCTGTCAGCTGGACTCAGAGTAACTGGATGTATTCTACAGAACATAGAAACCAGAACCCATCCTGATCCAGACGTTCGACTATTCACACACTCACAGCTTGGTCTCAGTTTCTGTCTCATCAAAGTGTAACTTCAGGAGTAAATGTTTGGATCGATCCTCTGAGGATCCCGATCCGGACGAAGACTCACCGAAGTTGAGGAAGACGAGTTTGGCCTGGATGGACGGACACAGCTTGATGATGACGGGGACGGAGACGTAGACGAGCAGCAGCCACATCAGGATCCTCCTGAGCTTCAGCACCAGACTCAGCCTGAGGAGCCAGACACAA